CCCCCTTGTCCTCTCCCTCCCTGCCCTTGTCCCAAGTCCCTCCCCAGCTTTCCTGGAGCCCCTTCAGGCCCTGGCAGGTGCTCTAAGGTCTTCCTGGGGCCTTCTCTTCTCATGTCCAACTTAAATCTCCCAGCTCCAACCCAGGCAAACTGATTTTGAAATTCCTTTCCTGTGCTGGTCCGTTTTCTTGCATATCTGAGCAGAATATGTTAGACATCCTTGGGTTTCTGCTTGCTCCTCCCTCAAGAGCAGGAGAATTATCACTGTCTAGTTACTGACTTGGCTTTATCCTTGTGTCCCAGGGTGGCCTTGAAGTGACTGTGTCCTCCCAAGAGCCCTTGGTTCCTGCAGAGCAGCTTTCCAATGGGAACCTCCTGAGTGTCACCCTGGAGGCAGTTTATTCAGTCCCTGAAGCATTTGGTCCTGCTGGACCCCTGCAAAGCTACATGGTTTGTTTGCAAGTCCCAGCAGCTGGAGAGGTGAGGATTCCTCCAGGAATGGTGAGGAGGGTTTGAGCTGCTCCAAACTGGATTATTATCCCACACTACACCCCGTGGAACCAGTGTCCAGGCCCTTGGGGTGTTCAGCTCCTGTGCTTGTGCAACAGCAGCCTTTGTTGGGAGTCCTCAGGGGCTCTGTGGCACAACATGATTCTTTAACACAAACCAAGGTCTGTTGGGCAAGATTTGCATTTAAACTGACACATTTCTCCTTGTTTGCTCACGTGGCTCTTTATTTGTTTTTATCCCTTCATTGGGTGTGGGTGGTGAAGAGCATTTTCCAAGCCAGGCCATTGTTGCTTTGCTTGGTTAGACCCATATCAGAGCAGCTGTCACTTGGAGTTCCAAATCCTTCCATTCTCATGTCTCTCTAGAGAGAGGCCCTCTTGCTCTTCAAGGATGGTGTCCTGAAACCTGCTGGTGAGAAAGAGCCTTTACCCCGGCCCAAAAAATGGCCCCTGACTAACATCATGGCCCCAGGAGCTCTGACCATCCCCAACTCCTTCATCACTGGTGGTCCCTATGAGGATGAGGATGGAGAGCTCAACAAAAGAGAGGTGAGGGGGTGTCCTGGCTGGAGGAGAACAGCAGGTCTGGCTGAAGAGACTGAGCAAGGCTTGTGGAGAGATGTTATAGGAGGAATGGAGGTGGTTGGTCCAGATGTGGAGATGGTTCTCCTGGGACAGCAACCATGCAGGAGTGTTCTCTGGGTCTGATCCCCACTGCCCACTCCTGAGCTGTGCCCTGTCCTTGTGAGCCAGGAACTGGGTCCTGATGGGCTCTGGTGTCTGCAGGGAGGAGTGAACACCCACTGCTAGGGTGGCCTGGGGAGCTGGGCAAATCTGCCAGGGACCATTCTGGGATACATGCAGGCTGTATCCCAGAGTCACAGAGTGCTGGGGTTGGAAGGGAGCTCTGGAGATCCCCCAGCCCAACCCCTGCCAGAGCAGGGTCACCTCCAGCAGATCCGACAGGAACACATCCAGGGGGGTTGGAATGTCTGCAGAGAAGGAGCCTCCCCAGCCTCTCTGGGCAGCCTGTCCCAGGGCTCTGCCACCCTCACAGGAAAGAAGTTGTTCCTCATGTTCAGCTTGACCCTCCTGTGCTCCAGCCTGTGCCCATTGCCCCTTGTCCTGTCACTGGGCACCCTGGGAAGAGTCTGGTCCCCCCTCCTGCCACCCCCTGGAGATATTGACCAGCACTGATCAGATCCCCCCTCAGGCTCCTCCTCTCCAGCTGAGCAGCCCCAGCTCTCCCAGCCTTTCCTCCCAGGGCAGATAAGCCCCTCCAGGGGTTGCTCCCTGCCTCTCACCACACTCTCTTTCTCACAGGACAGGGAGTTCAGGATGCAGGCAGAAACCTCCAGGAGAATCATCTGGGACATGGAAAGACGCTGTTACCTGGACCCTGCTGCAGTTGCCACGTAAGGGACCAGGGAACCCCCCTTTCAGCACAGAGCAGGGGGGAGAAACCTCCCCAGAACACTCAGCTGAGGGACCTGCCTCAACAGGTGCACCATGGGGGACCAGCACCATGCAGGTGCTCTCACTCCTCTCAGGTGGTCAAACAGTGGCTCTGCTTTGCCTCCTGTGGCTCCTGTCCCCAGAGGCTGTGGTGACAGGACAAGGGGTGATGGTTTTAGACTGAAAGAGGGGAGATTGAGTTTAGATATAAGGAGGAAATTCTTTGGTGTGAGGGTGGTGAGAGCCTGGCCCAGGTTGCCCAGGGAAGCTGTGGCTGCCCCATCCCTGGCAGTGTTGAAGGGCAGGTTGGATGGGGCTTGGAGCAACCTGGGCTGGTGGGAGGTGTCCCTGCCCATGCAGGGGGGTGGGACTGGATGATCTTTAAGGTCCTTTCCAACCCAAACCAGTCTGGGATACTCTGGCTGGCTGTTGGCTAAAGGTGTCCCCTGGAGCAGGAGAACAGATCATTTCTACTGTGGTGGGAGAAGATGAAGTGGCTGTAGCTCCTGTCCCCAGGGGCTGGTTGGTGCTGCCAGCAGCTGGAGCTGGAGGCTGTTCCCTCCACAGTTAGAAGGAAGGGGCAGCAGATTCTTGGTGAGCAGACATGGAGTGGCCCACACAGGTCTCCTAGGAGCCACTCCTGAAGTTTTGCAGAATTCCCAAGACATTCAAACCCACGTGGGCACTTTTCAGTCCCTTTTTTTATTGGGCCCACCTTACCTTGACCCACTCCAGCTCCATCTCTTGGAGTCCTGCTCCATTCCTGGCCTCAGCTGCATCGTGGCTGTGAGATTCTGAGCCAAATGACTCCTTCTGGGTGAAAATCCTCCTATCTGGTTGGATTTTTAAAAAAAGCTGTTTCCCTGGCACTTTTTATCTGCCTGCCCTCTGCTTTCAGAGTTACCAGGCACGTTGGATGGGAGCTCAGGGTCCACTTGCTCTGCACAATTTGGGATTTCTACCAAAGTGAATCATGCTGCTTCTTCCTTGTTTCGTTTCTGAAGGAACCAGGGGAGAGAGAAAAACCTGGTGTGCTGCTTTCACCATGGTTTTATAGCTGGTTGGGTCATAAAAGAACACAGCAGTGGATGGAGAAGAAAATGTACCAAGCCTGTCCCAAAGCACCCATGTTCCTGTGGCCTGAGGGTGCTGGCTGGGTCAAAGCAAACCCAAGGGGGGTGCTTGGGGGTTGCCATGGCAGAAAGGAGGGGGATGTGGTTGGTAGCTTGGTTTCTGCATCTCCTCAGTGTCCTTCTTTGGGGGCTGATCTGTTGGAGAGCAGCTCTGGGGAGAAGGAGCTGGTGGACAACAGGCCACGAGGCAGCAGTGTGTCCTTGTGGCCAGCAGGCCACCCTGGGGGCATGAAGAGGGTGGCCAACAGGTCAGAGAGGTTTCCTGCCCCCCTGCTCTGGCCTGGTGAGACGGCAAGAGCTGAGGGATGGGCTCAGGAGGGAGCTGGACCATATAGGTGATAAACACGGGCAGCTGCTGGAGAGCAGCTCTGGGGAGAAGGATCTTGGGGTTCTGGGGGACAACAGGCTGACCATGAGGCAGCAGTGTGTCCTTGTGGCCAAGAGGGCCACCCTGGGGGCATGAAGAGGGTGCCCAGTAGGTCAAGGGAGGTTCTCTTGCCCCCCTGAGGCCCCATCTGGAGCACCATGTGTAGTTCTGGGCTCCCAGTTCATGAAGGACAAGGAGCTGCTGGAGAGAGCCCAGCCCAGGGCCACAGAGATGCTGAGGGGCTGGAGCATCTGCCTGTGAGGAAAGGCTGGGAGAGCTGGGGCTGCTCAGCTGGAGAGGAGGAGGCTGACGGGGGATCTGATCAGTGCTGGTCAGTATCTCCAGGGGGTGGCAGGAGGGGGGACCAGACTCTTCCCAGGGTGCCCAGTGACAGGACAAGGGGCAATGGGCACAGGCTGGAGCACAGGAGGGTCAAGCTGAACATGAGGAACAACTTCTTTCCTGTGAGGGTGGCAGAGCCCTGGGACAGGCTGCCCAGAGAGGCTGGGGAGGCTCCTTCTCTGGACATTCCAAACCCAGCTGGAGTGTTCCTGTGGGATCTGCTGGAGGTGACCCTGCTCTGGCAGGGGTTGGGCTGGGGGATCTCCAGAGGTCCCTTCCAACACCCCCTCTCTCCCTGTCCCAGCCTGCAGCAGCGCGTGGCCGAGTGCCGCTGCTGGCCCGTGGAGATCTGCAGGATGGTCCTGCCCTCACCCAGCAAAGGGAAAACCAGCAAAGCTGACAAGGTAAAAAGGAAGAAAAGGGGATTCCTCGTTGTGGCTGGGGAGCAGCATTGCATGGTTGAGCACTTCCCTTCGGGTGCTTTTGTCATTCCCAAACCAGCCTTGAAGCAGCCAAAGTGAGTCTGAGAACTAGAGGCTTTGTCAAGGGATGGATCTCCCCAGAGAGCTGCTGAATAGACAGAGGGTGATCTTTTTCCTCTCACTGACAGTCTGGAGTAGCTGGGTGGAAAGGGGGCAGGGAAAGGGAGCTTTTTGAGAACTGAGGTCATTCACTGACCTTCTCATCAGCCAAGGGGAGTTTGGGGCATCTTGAAGAAATCCACCCCATCATTCTCGAGGTGTAAGTAAGTGATGTTTTGCCACATGAACTCGGGTGGTTTAACAAAGACACACCCCCTCAGCTCCTGGGGCTGTTCCTGCTTGTGTGAGAGCTCCTAATGGTTCCAGGGCAAAGTCATATAAACTGGGATAAAACCCTTCCAGCCCTTGCTTGTGCCAGGATTTTGCAGCTCCTTCTCCCTTGCCCTTCCCAGTCTGCTGCTAGCCCAGACTCTCAAGCCTCCTGAGCTGCCTGGCTTTGGTCACCTCCTGAGCTGCCTGGCTTTGGTCACCTCTGAGCTGCAGAGCAATTTTAATGGTTGTTTGGCTCTCTGCCCACAGGGTTGGTCACTTTGCAGCTGTACCTTGAAAAGACCGTCCTGAGAACCAGCACCAGAGAGAAAAGCTGCTCTGCAGGGGCTGGGATACAATTGATATTCCACATATTGAATGACTCCAGGCTTTTCATCCAGGTTGTCTTGGTTGTGTGCCAGTGACAGAGAGCCACACTGGCTCCTCAGGGACATCAGTCTGCTGTGTGGCCTCTTCCTAATGGGACCAGTGACCTTGTTTCCTTACAGAGAATAACAGACTGTTCAGTGTCTCAGCCCTTTTTGCTCCATGTTTCCAGGGAGATGAGGACAAGCAGATTTTCTTCCATGGTGTGGCCTATGTCAACATGTTGCCTTTGCTGTGCCCTGGGGTGAGGCAGATCCGAGGAGCTTTCCCTGTCTGCCCCTACCATGACAGAGAGGTGTTGCTGAAGGTGAGGGCAGAGCAGGCAGCCTGAGCCAGCCCTGCTGCTGGGGCTGCACAGAGAGGGGCTGGGAACTGGGACTGTGGGCAGCTTGGAGATTGGGAGCAAGCAGGATGGCAGCCTGGAGTTTGGGAGCAGGCAGGATGGGCAGCCTGGAGTTTGGGAGCAGGCAGGATGAGCAGCCTGGAGTTTGGGAGCAGGCAGGATGGTAGAGGCTGGCTCTGAAACTCCACTGTCCTTCTGGTGATGGAGAAAATCAGGGAGACAGGCTCTGCTGTGCAGGCTGCTGGGTGTGCAGGAGCTGCTCTGGGGGCTGGGAGAGGCTGGGCCAAGCTCTGGATCTCCCTCCACTCCCTTCCCTGCCAGCAGCTGGGCAGGCAGGGCTGGAAGAACCCTCTGCTCTCCCCAGTCTGGAACATGGGCACAGGAGCTGGGTTGCTGGGAAGAGCAAACAGTGGCTGTGAGAGGAGAGTGTTACCCCAGGCAACAACCCAAGCTGTCCCAGGAGCTCCCAGCACCAGCTCACCAGCTTTATTTGTCTTTGAGTTCCCTCCCCCTCTCTGTTACTAGCACTGACAGTAACATCTTCATTTTCCCACAGTCCCCCTGGAACAGACCTGAGCTTGTTTCAGGAGGGTGGATGCCCAGCCTGGATTTTCTGCCCACATTCCCTGTGGTGCTGCTGCCCTGGCCACAGGAGCTGGGGGAATTCCAGCCCTTCCCCTGCCTCCCTGCTCCTGCTGTGGCTCAGCACACACAGCAGCTCTTTGCTTTGCCTCTGTGGGCTCATGTCAAGCTCATGAAGTTCAACAAGGCCAAGGGCAAGGTCCTGCACCTGGGTCAGCACAACCCCAGCACAAATACGGGTGGGGTGGGGAATGGATTTGGAGCAGCCGAGAGGAGAAGGACTTGGGAGTGTTGAGAAGCGCAACATGAGCTGGAGCCCAGAAACCAACCCTGTCCTGGGCTTTGTCACCAGCAGAGTGAACAGCAGGGCCAGGGAGGGGATTGTCCCCTCTGCTCTGATCTGTTGAGACCCTCCCTGCAGGGCTGGGGCCAGGGCTGGGGTCCCCAGCACAAGAAGGACATGGAGCTGTTGGAGAGAGTCCAGAGGAGCCATAGAGATGATCCAAGGGCTGGAGCAGCTCTGCTCTGGAGCCAGGCTGGGAGAGTTGGGGTGTTCAGCCTGGAGAAGAGAAGGCTCCAGGGAGACCTTAGAGCACCTTCCAGGGCCTGAAGGGGCTCCAGGAAAGCTGGGGAGGGACTTGGGACAAGGGCAGGGAGGGAGAGGACAAGGGGGATGGATGAAAACTGGCAGAGGGGAGATTGAGGTTGGACATGAGGAGGAAATTCTTTGGTGTGAGGGTGGTGAGATCCGGGCCCAGGCTGCCCAGGGAAGCTGTGGCTGCCCCATCCCTGGCAGTGTTGAAGGGCAGGCTGGATGGGGCTTGGAGCAACCTGGGCTGGTGGGAGGGGTCCCTGCCCATGCAGGGGGATTGGATCTAGATGATCTTTAAGGTCCCTTCCAACCCAATCCACTCTGAATAATGGCTGCATGGTGCTCCCTGCCCTGTAGCATTTACCTGTCACAAGTGACATGTGCTCTCTCTGTTCTTTTCTGGTTTTGTGGATGCTTTGGGCTGTTCCTTTGGGCACATCTGCTCCATCTTCTCCCCAGCACCTCCTCAGTTCTTGCTAACCCATGTAGCAAGAGGGCAGGTCCAGGGTTAAGGCAGGAATTCAGGCCAGTGGGTCAGGAATGGGGGAGCACAGGGTGGGCTCCAGCCTGTCTCCCACCTAGCTCAGGCAGGAATCAAGGGCCAGCAGTGACCATGCAGTTCTGGAGAAGAGACAAGGAGACCCTGCTGAGGTTTTCTCCAACATCTCCTTTAGTGGCCTCACCTGAGGCTCCACAGCCACGTGGTGTCAGAGCTGCCCTTGAGCACCCCCAGCTAAAATTTTAGGAGGGGGGAAGAACCAACATGTGAATCTCTTTAATGCACTTAGGACCCTGTTTTGCAGTGGGAGAGGCTAAGGATGGAGAAGCCCAGTTTATCTCTTGCTTCCCTCTGTTCCCTCTTTCTTTTTCCAGACCAAAAGCCAGCACAGTGTTTTGAGGGATCTCAGGAGGAAGCTCAGTCAGAATAAGGAAGGTCCAGGACTCAGTACCCCCCACTCCAGTGCTCTCAGCAATGCTCAGAGAGAAGACAAAACCAACAAGGAGAAAGATTCCAGCAGAAGGGTAAGGTCTGGAGAGGGGATATTGTGACTTGGCTGCTCCATTCCCAGCCCAGAAGGAGTTGAAACCAGGTCCTGCTACTGTGTTGCCTCAGCCAAGAGAGAACTTCTCATTATCTTGACATTTCAGTCCATGCTGCCACAGCTTGGGAAGGTGTGAGGTTTACTGAAGCTGAAACAAGAGACATCTTCTCTTTTTGTTCTCTAGATGTCTGGCACATCCCAGATCCTGTTAGATGCCACTGGAGAAGCTGAAAATGCCACCCAGCACAGCCCTGATGGACAGGTAATTGATGTCTCTCCAAAGAGAAGGAATGTCATTGCTGTGTCTCTGGCTCACAGCTTCCCAGGCAATTAAATTCTTCAGGAATGAGCTGGATAAGGGGATGTTTTACGTAAATGTTGTCCTGGAGTTCTTCCAGTGACATCCAGCTGGAGGGCAGTGCAGCTTTGGGCTGTGGAAAGTCTCTGTAAATAATCAGGAGTTGATTTTAAAAGGGTTCTTTCCTATTTTGGCTTCTGCCTCAGAACATCTAGGATGCATCATGCCAAGGAGATGGATTCTCCCAGCTGTCTCCTTTTTCCCAGATTGGTTTCTTGAGCTGAATTTTGGTGTCAATTGTTCTGAGGGCAGGTTGTAAAACAAGCTGTAGCTCTGCAGTTAGAAGGAGAGCTGCAGTTTGAAGGTGAAGCTCTGCAGTTTGTACAGGAGGGACATGGAGCTGCTGGAAAGGGTTCAGAGGAGCCACAGAGATGATCCAAGGGCTGGAGCAGCTCTGCTCTGGAGCCAGGCTGGGAGAGCTGGGGTGTTCAGCCTGGAGAAGAGAAGGCTCCAGGGAGACCTTAGAGCAGCTTCCAGTGCCTGAAGGGGCTCCAGGAAAGCTGGGGAGGGACTTGGGACAAGGGCAGGGAGGGAGAGGACAAGGGGGGATGGATGAAAACTGGCAGAGGGAGATTGAGGTTGGACATGAGGAGGAAATTCTTTGGTGTGAGGGTGGTGAGAGCCTGGCCCAGGTTGCCCAGGGAAGCTGTGGCTGCCCCATCCCTGGCAGTGTTGAAGGGCAGGTTGGATGGGGCTTGGAGTAACCTGGGCTGGTGGGAGGTGTCCCTGCCCATGCAGGGGGGTTGGAACTGGATGATCTTTCAGTCCCTCCCAACCCAAACCAGTCTGGGATTCTGTGATTTGCTGAAGATCTGGAGCTCTGTGCTCAGTCTTTCATCACAGCCATGATGGCTCTGGGCAGCACGACCCTGAGAGGACAATGTTTGTCTCCCCAGCAGTACAGTGAGGCAGGAACCTTCCTGCTGCTGGAGATAAAGCTGGACAAGGCCTTGGTGCCCAAGCGGACCCGAGAGGAGCTCAGCGACCGGTGCGTAGGGACCCCCTGGGGCTGCCACCTCATCCCTGCAGGGTGGAAACGGGGCTGAACAGCTGGTGTCCCCCACTTGGAGAGCTCCTCATGGACCATCCGAGGGCTGCAGCCAAACCCCCTGGGAATTAGGGAGAGGCTTTTGATCGACAGCAGCTGAACGTTGAGCCAGCAGTGTGCCCAAGTGGCCAAGAAGGTCCATAGCATCCTGGTCTGCCATCAGGAATGGGGTGGCCAGCAGGTCTAGAGGTGATTGTCCCCTTGTGCTGGGCACTGGGGAGGGGGCACCTCCAATCCTGGGGTCAGTTCTGGGCCCCTCAGGACAAGAAGGACATGGAGGGGCTGGAGCGTGTCCAGGGAAGGGCAAGGGAGCTGGGGAAGGGGCTGGAGCACAAGTGGGAGCAGGAGCAGCTGAGGGAGCTGGGGGTGTCCAGCCTGGAGCCAAGGAGCTGAGGGGAGACCTGCTGGCTCTGCAGCTGCTGAGAGGAGGTTGGAGCCAGGGGGGGTGGGCTCTGCTCCCCAGGAACAAGGGATGGGACAAGAGGAACCGGCCTCAAGTTGCACCAGGGGAGGCTGAGGTGGGATCTTAGGAGAAACTTCTTCCCTGAAGGGTCATCAACCCCTGGCCCAGGCTGCCCAGGGAGGGGGTTCAATCCCCATCCCTGGAGGGGTTTCAGAGGCCTGTAGATGTGGTGCTGAGGGATGTGGGTCAGCACTGGGCTGGGTAGAGTTGGGTTCATGGTTGGATTTGATGATCTTATGGGTCATTTTGAACCAGAACCATTCAGTGATGTTTTGGACAGACTGCTTTAAGAAGTGGCATCTGGTGTGTTGGGAAAACACTTGTTCATCCCAGCTGACCTCTCCCTGCCACTCCTCTCCAAAACAGAGACCCCAGAGCAGTACAACAGGGTCTTCATTCCCCTCCAGGCTTTGTTTCCCAGTATTTATGGGGAAGCTGTGGCTGCCCCATCCCTGGCAATGTTGAAGGGCAGGTTGAATGGGGCTTGGAGCAGCCTGGTGTCCCTGCCCATGCAGGGGGTGGGCCTGAATGATCTTGAAGGTCCCTTCCAACCCAAACCAGTCCGTGAGTCTGAGTTACAAGCACTGAATGTAGGTCCCTGGGTTTGATTGTTAGCTCTTGGTCAGACTTCAGTGTCCCCCGTCCCCATGTCCCCACGAGGACAGGGACAGAATGACAAGCTGGAGCCCTTGCACTACAGGCCACCTGCCTCCAGGACAAACCAGCACTGCTGGTGGTGTGTCTGGCTGATCTCTTCTGTCCTCTCCTTGACAGGGTCAAGGAGCTGATTCCTCCTCGCCCTTTGCTGCCTCCCCGGACCTCAGGAGCCAAGATGGTAGGTGCAAGAACCTGTTACCCCTCTGTCCCCTCTCCCTGCCACCTCCCTGTCCCCTCCCCCTGCCCTCATCTCTCACCCAGGAAACTCTCCAATCTCAATCCCAGCCCTGCAGCAGCAGAGAGATTAGGTTTGAAGAGGAAATACCCAGAATGATTTCTGGGTGTGTTATCTTCACCTTGGGAAATCATTGCTGGGCTGCATCACTGCCACCCAGCCTATGGGAAAGAGAAAGGTCCAAAGGAAGGGAAGGGGACAGGAGGCTGGGAAAAGAGCCCACCAGAACCTTCTGTTTGCCCCAGGCACTCCCAACAGTGTCTTGTCTCCCATGTCAGACCCAGACAAACATGCATCAGCCCCGACCACCCTCAGGTCACCCAGGAGTTTTGAGGACTTTTGTGTGTCCAGAGACACCCTCTGGACATGATGTGAGAGCACTGGCTCCTCTTCTGTGGGTGCAGAGCAGCCCTTGGAGGAGAAGTGCCCCCAGGTGGCCCCTGCCATGGTTAATCCCAAGGGAAAGAAGCAGCACTTGAATAACTGACCCCACTGCAGCTGCAGAAGTGGTGGGTGCTGGGCTGGCTGGGGCTCACATGGTGATCATTGCAGCTCCTGGAATCTTCTGCCACCAGATGATGGAGTTTACAGGCTCAGCTCCAGAGGGTTGAGAAGGATCCCAGCAAATGAGATCTGTTTGGCTTCCAGTCAGTGATGCTGCTGTGGAGGAGATGATGATTGAAACACTGGGCTCTGAGTGTGGGGGGGGGGGAAATAGAGCAGGAGAAATACCTAATCCTGAAGGATCTTTTGTATTGACATGGAGATGTTTGCACAGCCCTGGGGTGTGGGCAGGAGAGGCTTCATGCCAGAATCACTTGAGACTTGAGTCAGGTGGAGATGATGGGCTCTGGCAGCTCAAACCCATTTGCAGGGCTGGTGGCAGGAATGGGAGGTTTGGTTCTTGATTTCCTAGGCTGTGGAGGGTTATCACAACTGTGTCAGGAACCTGGCTGTTGCCATCCTCAAGGAATACCAGGAGCTCTTTGGGAAGCAGCTGCCTCAGTGGGGAGCAATAGAGCCCCCCAACCTGGAGGAACAGAAGCTTCAGCTGAGCTGTGAGCTTGCTAGCTCTGGGAAGAAACTGGTTTATAAGGAACAGCTCCAGGTAAGATGGTGCTTTTCATTTCCATACTTGATTTGTCTTGTAAGAACCACTGCTGCTCTGGGGTGGGAACTTAAAGAGTGTGATGTGTTGCTCCAGAATCCCTTTCCTGCCACCTGGGGCTGGTACAGCAGGCAGGGGAGGGAACAGGTTCCCCCCCAACAGGGCGGTTGCTTTGGTCCCACACCAGGAGAACCAGAAAGAGGGGGAGCCCCAAAGCTGCTCACACCCCTTGGCCCCTGCTGGGAGCAGGGGAAGGCAAAGCTCTTGCAGACTCCCAGTCCAGCCTGGAAGAAAAAAGGGGTTCCCCTCTCTCAGGTCTGCCCAGAGTCCCCCTCTCTGTGCCCAGGGGACCAACCCTGTCCCTGAGTTGTCCCTCGAGAGGCACTGATGGGTCAGGGAGAGCCAGGCTGGGAGGTGGGAAAGGAGTTCACCCCTGCTTGCTTTTTTGACTTGAGCTCTGCTCTGGGGCCAGGCTGAGAGTTGGGGTGTTCAGCCTGGAGAAGAGAAGGCTCCAGGGAGACCTTAGAGCACCTTCCAGGGCCTGAAGGGGCTCCAGGAAAGCTGGGGAGGGACTTGGGACAAGGACAGGGAGGGAGAGGACAAGGGGGAAGGGATTAAAACTGGCAGAGGGGAGATTTAGGTGACATATGAGGAGGAAATTCTTTGGTGTGAGGGTGGTGAGAGCCTGGCCCAGGTTGCCCAGGGAAGCTGTGGCTGCCCCATCCCTGGCCGTGTTGAAGGGCAGGTTGGATGGGGCTTGGAGCAACCTGGGCTGGTGGGAGGGGTCCCTGCCCATGCAGGGGGTTGGATCTAGATGGTCTTTAAGGTCCTTCCAACCCAAACCACTCCATGATTCTATGATTGCTGTCAGTGCTGGGCTTAATTCTGCCTCAGAACTGAGCTGGAGCTTCAGGGTGTTCAGGGAGCTGGTGGGGGGGCTCAGAGGGGTCCTGCCTTGTCCAACCCTCACGTGGCTCCACAGTATGCTGTCGTGAAGATTGTGAGGGAGAAATACCTAAAGATCATGGCATTTGAGACCCAGGAGCAGCTCCAGGAATTCCTCTGTGAGCTCAACGTGTACCTCATGGACCAGATGCACATTGATCTCAACCAGGTAGGGAGGAACCTGGGTGGTGGGAAACTGGAAGAGGGAGGTTTAGGTTAAACATAAGGAGTTATTGATTTGCTGTGAGGGTGGTGAGAGCCTGGCCCAGGTTGCCCAGGGAAGCTGTGGCTGCCCCATCCCTGGCAGTGTTGAAGGGCAGGTTGGATGGGGCTTGGAGCAACCTGGGCTGGTGGGAGGTGTCCCTGCCCATGCAGGGGGGTTGGATCTAGATGTTCTTTAAGGTCCCTTCAATCCAGACCATTCCTTGTGTCTATGACAAGCTGCTGTGCCTGGTTCCTGGTGGGTTCCAGCTGCCACTCCCCCTGCAGAGCACAGACCTTCTCCCAGGAACTATGGTCACCAGGAAGTGACACCTCAGAGGAAGTTTGAAGTGACCTTGATCTAGGGGATGCTTTTACTTCTCTTGCCTGCAGATAATGGACATTGCCCTGGTTCTTTCCTGGGAATGCCAGGCCTGTGTCCCACCACACAGGGGAGCCAGGACAGTTGGCCTTTCCAACCCCCCAGGCTGTGGTCAGGATGGTGCTGGGCTGGGGACTGCTGCTGGAATGGGAACACTGGAACCATTCTTACCCTCTTCAGGGCTAAAACTCTGTCTCTCTCCTTCCCAGCTCCTCTCCCAGGAAGCTGTTTCTCCCTCCCCTCCCACCCCCCTGACCGAGGAGCAGCTCTGCCTCTTTGCTCAAGAAGCTGAGCTCGACAAGGACTATGAGCTGGCAAACTTCTACCACCAACAGGTGAGGGAGCTCCTGGGCTTTCCTGCCCACCTCCGGGGTGGTTGGGCTGGCAGGCAGCAAACCCAGCCCTGATGGGTGGATGGGGAGGGAGGAGGGGAATGTCACCAGGATTCTAGGGCAGTGTGAGGGATTTTCCAGGGAGATGCTGCTCCCTGGAGGATGTGAGACAGAGCCTGGCCAGGTCGCTGAGGACCTGGGGAAATGGGATCAGCTGGTCCAAAAGGTGGGCTGGCTCAGCACTGGGGACACTGGGCCCCCTGCCAGGAGGCTGGGAGGAGGTCAGCTGAAGCTGGAGGACCTTTGTCAGGTGAAGGAGCCTTTCCAGCAGATGCTGCTTAAGAGAAGACCCAGCATGTGATAAACAAGGGCTTGATTGTTGCTAAACTGGGCTGGGGTGGCCAGAGGTCATTCCAGCTGTGGTCATTCCAGAGCTGGCTCCCCAGTCTGGGTGTGCTGGGTGTGGTTGCAGCAGCTTTCCCTCCAGCAAGGTTCTCTGGTATCTAGAGATTATCCCAGGACCAGCACAACATCCAATCCTGGCTGGACTATGGAGTGTTCAACCTCCTGCTTGAGGACCCAACCAAAGCCCAGGAGTGCTTCCAGCAGGCTCTTTTTCTGGATCCTCATCACATCCAAAGGTGCTGTGTGATCCCAGTGGGTGGGGGTGTACCCCACCCCCCTGCCCAGCTCCTGCAAGGCTGACCAGTCCTTCCCTGTCCCCAGCTTGCTGCTCTGTGCTACTGTGGCTGCCATGCTGCAGCACTATGAAGAGGCAGAGATTTTCTTTGAGATGGCCTGCTCCTTGGAGCCACCCAGCACTGTGGCCTGGACTCTGTCAGGTACCAAACCAACCAGCCTTTCTTCTCCTGCCCTCCTGGTGGCTCCAGCCTTTCTTCTCCTGCTCTCATCTCAGGGATGAGCCTTTGCTAAGGCTCAGCTATCTGCTCATGCTGCTTTTTGTCTCCCACAGGTTTGTTTTATGAGCTGCAGGATGACAGTACTCGGGCAGAAATGGCCTTCAGGGAGGCTAGGAAGCTCCTGCAGGCACAGCTTGACAAGGAGAAGGGCATCCCTGAGGGAGAAGGAGGGGAGGAGCATGTTTCTGCTGGCTCTGTGGGCTCTCCCAGCCCAGACCCACCAGGTAACACTGGGCAGAGCCAGGAGGTGGCCAGGCACCAGCAAGGAGGGGGCTTGGAACAGTGTGGGAGGATGGTGAGCAGCAGCAGGAGGGGAGAAACTGCTCAGAGGAGAAACACAAAGGGCAAAAGCAGAAGGTGGGGACTGTCAGCTGGAACAGACTGACCACAGACTGCACCAGGAAGAGGCTGGCACGTGTGCTGCTGGAAATGGTGAAGCTTTCTGCAAGCAGCACAGCCCCTGCCTCATCTTCCCCACATCTTACACAGCAGGGGGACAGGAGAGGTAGGGAGAAACTTTGCACCAGTGAGTGCAGTGACAGGCCAAGGGGGAATGGTTTTAAACTGCTCCAGTGCTTTACTACCCTCATGGTGGAGCATTTCCTCCTCATGTCCCACCTCAATCTCCTCTCTTCCAGTTTTCATCCATCCCCCTTGTCCTCTCCCTCCCTGCCCTTGTCCCAAGTCCCTCCCCAGCTTTCCTGGAGGCCTCTTCCATCTCTGCTTCAGCCTCCCCTCCTGCCTCCCTGGTTTTACACCCCACTGCTGGATTCCTCTGTCCCCACCAGGGTCTCAGCCCCTGCTCTTGCTTCAGAAATAAAAAGCCCAGTTTGGGCCTGATGACAACAAGTTTCCTTGCAGCCCCAAGCCCTGGTTCAGGACCTGGCCAACCTCCCTGCACCATCTTCATGAAGGCAGTGGAATTCCTGGAGAAGGTCAATGCCATCCAGGTCAGCTCAGTGTGGAGCAGGAAGGGAGATTTGGTCTCATTTCTGGGTTCTGACTAAAGAGCTGGTGGCTCCAACAACTCCCCTTCCTGGGCTCAGGGAACAAGCTGTGGCAACCCCAGGTGCTGAGCACCAGAGGGAGCAAAACCAGCACTGCCCAGAAACGCAGAACTGAGGCCAGAGTGATGGGACCAAAACGCTGCTTGGGGACACTTGTCACCTCAGGCAGGCGAGGTCCTCGGTGCTCCTCAGCTCAGCCCTGCTGCCTGCAGAGGGAACAGAGTCAGAAACAGTGCAGAGATGCTCCTCCTTGCACGTCCAGAGATGAGGAGCATGATGTGATGCTCCCAGGAACCACCACTCCCTCTTCCAGACACTCGTGTGTGTGTGTCAGGGTGGTCTTGGTGTCACCTGTGGAACGTCCCTGTCCCACAGCTGCTGCTGGGGGATCCTTCTGCCTGCTGCAATGTGCTGCCTGCCTTCATGTCACCAGGCAAAAAAAGTTTCTTAAAGCAAAACAGAACTCATGGAGGTGAATATTTAAAGGGGGTGGGGGGTGGAAGTTCTCTCCTGCCTGTTTTCTGTTCCTGGAAAGCCAGCCAGGTGTGAGCTGGGGGTGCCCATGGTTTCCCTGTGCCTTCCTCACTACCCTGCTGGGCTGTCCCCCCCCAGTTTCTTCACCAGGCACTTGCCCACGAGCTGCTGAACTTTGAGGAAGGTCCCTCCTGTGCCTACTACCTGGCCCTGGCCCACGCTTCCCTGCTGAGGGAGAATTTCTCCAAATGTGAGGAATGTCTCCATGAGGCCGTCAGCATCGAGTACACGGTAACTCCCTGCCTGGTCCTGGCAGGGCACTGCCCCAGCCCCCCCAGGGCACTGCCTGTCCCCAATACATGAAGGACATGGAGCTGTTGGAAAGGGTCCAGAAGAGCCACAGAGATGATGGGAGGGCTGGAGCAGCTCTGCTCTGGAGCCAGGCTGGGAGAGTTGGGGTGTTCAGCCTGGAGAAGAGAAGGCTCCAGGGAGACCTTAGAGCACCTTCCAGGGCCTGAAGGGGCTCCAGGAAAGCTGGGGAGGGACTTGGGACAAGGGCAGGGAGGGAGAGGACAAGGGGGAA